CCAGATGGCTCTGCGGTGAAGAGTTCGTGGAAATCTCCATTATAACGCGTAACATGCCATTTTGACTGTTTACCACAGATTTTCAAGATAATTTCTCCAGCTATGATATCCGTATCATAACTGAGATTGTGATGACTGTCGTAGTTATCATAAGTAAAATTGTGTAAACTTTACAGTATACTGTAATTGAATTTATACTCTTTGACCCATGTATCATTCAAATAATCTTTTACAGTCCATATTTCAAGGCAACCTTCCGAAAAAATCTTGACTGTGAGGCAGAGCTCCCCTCTAGGCTCCTTTAGATAGGAGTAAGGCGAAAGAGAAGGCGACAGCCCTTTTATTACTCTATCAAACAAACACTTGCAAGAATCAAGATATCCAGCTCGACCAACAAGAACACTTGAATTGCAACCAACAAGGTACTATATACTCCAACAATTCAAGCGCAGCATAAGGTTTTTCTTCTTTTCCAAGCACATGATGCAATATATGCATTTGTCGCAAGGATATAAGTCTGAAAACGACAACATAACCATAAGATCAAGTATGTCCAACTTCTTGCTTACCAATAGCATAAACATCGGACCTTCTCCAGCAAATACCGATTCAAACTTTTTGTCATCCCATTCTGCTGCGGTGTGTGACTAACTGTGAAGTGTCTCTCTATGTTCTCGTCTCGACATAGCTGCTGAAAGGAGTTAGAAGTATACTCACCGCAGTTGTCGGATCGCAACGTATTGATCTTTCTTCCAGTATGCAGTTCCAATCACTTCTTCCACTCCACAAATATCTCTAGGACTTCACTCTTTTTCGTCATGGTGTACACCCAACAACGCATAGAATAGTCATCTACAAACGTGACGAACCAATTTAGACCACCAAGTGATGATGTATTGGTGAGACCCTAAATATCTGTGTGCACGTATTCCAAGATGCCCATCGTCCTATGGATGACTGTCTCGAACTTCACATTCGTCTTCTTTCCAAGAACATAATACTCACAGAACTCAACTTTTTCACTCTTAGCTCACTTCAATAGTCTCTGCTTGCACAAAGCTTGTAGTGAATTTTTACTTGTGTGTCCCAACCAATAGTGCCAAAGCCTGCTTACGTCCACCTCTGAAATAGCTGAAGCTACCTGGCCAATCTTGGTACTCCCCTTCAGATAATACAAATTCCTACTGCAGACTCCCTTCATCACTATCAAAGATCCCTTAGTAACCTTTGCTACAGTGTTCTCAAAGGTCACCTTGAATCCCTTCGCCTCCAAAGCTCCAACTGAAATAAGATTTTTCTTCAACTGAGAAACAAATCTTACTTCATTCAATTCACGAATTACTCCATCATGCATCCGAATCCCGACAGTACCTATCCCACAAATATCATAGGATTGATCATTTCCCATGACTACCACGCCCCCATCGAGTTTCTCGAACGATACAAACCAATCTCGTCGGGTAGTTACATGATAAGTAGCACCAGAACGAAGCATCCAATCAGATGCATCCACATGGTTCACCTCTGGAGTAATCAATAGAGAAAAACACGAATCATCGAAATCATCACCTCTCACGACGTTCACCTCATTAGCCTTCGAGCCCTTCTTCTTGCTCTTCTCCTTCTCCTTGAGATTCGGGCAACCTCTCTTCTAATATCCTTGTTCCTTGCAGAACGCACACTAGTTCTTTGCTAACTGGTGGTGGCCCCTTGACTTTGACCTGTTCCTATTACCACCTCTCGGATATGGACTTCTATCTCTCGTCAACAAGGTCTCTCCTAAAGTGCTAACACGAGAAGTCTCTTTGTCTTTCCTCCTCAAATCGTAGTTTGTCAATGCGTTAATCACTTTACCGTAGGTGATGGAAGATCTCCTGTTCAACAAAGTGAGCACGAAGGTATCATACTCCTCACATGAGCCGCAAGTGAGGTGTCCCTGGACATCAGGAATCTGAATAATCTCCGCAGCAAGTGCAACCGATTCTCAACAATCTTCGTAAGATACTTGTTGTTAAGAATCTCCCACATCTTTATCGCAGACGTCACCCCAATCACATAGTATTTCAGCTCTTGTTCCAAACAAGACTTGGTCACCCCACAAGTGTTCCTATTCATCTTGTCTCATATCGCCTCATCGTATTTTGATGGCCTATCATAGACCATGATGATCTCTTCCAAATTTTGAGCATTGAGAACGTCCTGTACGTCGCTCATCCACAAATTAAAATTGATCTTGTCGTCATACTTCACAACACTAATCTTAGTATTTTGAAGTCCAACCTGAACTGTACTCGCCATCGTCTTGATGTTTTTACCAACTTTTTATCCCATGCTTACAAACTCCAAATTGTAATGAAAGATTCAAACTTTGATAGAATTGAGAAATTGCCTAACTGAATCCTAGATAGGATTCCAACTAGATCTCCTAACCACACGAGGAAAGCGAGATCTCCAACGGTAACTCCACCGAAGCCTAAATCTCCAAGATCCAAGCTTCCAACAATGAATCTTCCTCCACCCAATGCAAAACCCTAGATCTAAAATCTTAGAGCTCTGATACCAATTGTCGCGCGTCGTGCGAAAGCGTGCTCGATAACCAAACGAGCCGGTCAGCGATGAGAGAAGAGAACCAAACCAAATTATGAGTGCAATTCACCAAAATACGACACAAATCAAACCAAACACAGGAATTTACATGGTTCAGCAATCACCTACGTCCACGGGGAGAGGATGTGAAGATTTCACTATATAGAGGAGAAATATAACGGGTTACAACTCACAAAATTACTCAAATATAACTCTAACAAAAGCTCTTAACTCTCTCACAATATATCCCTCTCAAAGTGCTCAAAACAATGCTAATTCACTCCTTAAGTAACCCTAAAAACGTATTACTATTTATAACAAAACACAATCCCAAACATGGTGGGAATCTAAAAACGAGTCTGCCACACCCGGGTGTGACACGCACCACACTCCTGAAAACAGGGCAGATTCTGCCACACGTGGGTGTGGCAGACACCATGCCCCTAACAACATGAGCATATTCTGCCACACCTCGATGTGGCAGACACCACACCCCTGCAGAATCTTCATGTTTGCCAACATTTTGAACAATTTGACGTTGTTTTCTACAGAATATTCTTTTGACCTAGGCATTAGTGTGATTTAATCAATATTAACATCAAAATTTGTACGCCCCGTGTAACATAACCCTGTTAAACTAGATGCTGAAAAATTATGCCTGCATTGGTTAATTCTTCAAAATGTACAACATAATTTTGCTCCAATCACATTTCATATAAATTTTTGGTCAAAGGAAAAGGTTAATATAAACAAATTTCCGAATATGAATTTACATATGAAGATTGTATTACTTCTTCCAGCAGGTGCTTGACTTATTATATCTCACTAATGCAATATATGTAACTTTCCCTTGGCTTCTTTGATTCAAATCCTTAAAAACATTGTATAATGGTTTCAAGATACTACAGCTTACAAGAATGAAACAGAAGATTGCTCAACAATGATTGATCTCTACAATTTTGGCAGCAAAATTCTTCATTAGAGAGCAACAGGTTTCCTTTGTGCAATCTTTTCCACTAGCATCTCCTACATCCTCAAAACTTCGATGCTAAATGGAGATAATGTCCCTTTTCACCATAAAAACTGATTATTTCATCGGCTTCCGAAGCTTTTCCTTCATTTCGCAGCCTTGATACCAACATACTATACACAAAAACTATACCAACATACTACATGTATCTGAACTAAGATTTTCAGTTACAACAAAATTATGGCAATAAAAGGTTAAAAATACAACTTACAAGATTATTAGATGCAAAAATATGCTCTATTGACAATAGATGCCTGAACAGAGTTTTACCCTATTGATGCTTGTTTTTTTCAAGGAAAGAAATTTCTAATTGACATCAAAATTTACATGCCATGTGCAACAATGTAACATAGCATCGATAAATTGCATGATGCAACATTATGCCTGCATTTCTCATCTCCATCCTCTATACATCTTCTGGAGATACCTTCAACAACTTTTCTGACGAAATAAAGCTTTCCCCATAAACAACAATATCCATAGCTCCATCGAACAGTTTGAGCAGAACTTTACTACAAGGATTATAACTATAGCATGCCAATAAAACTTTCATCACAGAACGTTAAGATAAAATCTTCATCTACTATACCTGGAACACAAATATAACCGTGTAAACCTGACAGCATACTGCCACTGAACTTACATACTCTTTGACCCATGTATCATTCAAATAATCTCTCATAGTCTATATTCCAAAGCAACTGCCTGTATCGTTCTTCAATGCGAGGCAAGGCTTCCCTCTAGAGTCCTTGAAGCAACAATAAGACATAAGAGAAAGTGAGGGCTAGGGGCTCGATATCATTGATCCAAACTTCTCATCTCTGACATCGAAAATCTCAAAAGACCAAAATTTCCTGCTTTTTGATTATATCCAATCCAGTGACAGGATCTGTGATGTAGAACTTGTTTGTCGCCGAATTCAAAATAGCAATATATACACCGAACTGTGAAGCTTTTACAACATACGCCCTGACAGCCCTGATGTAGTTACCTGCTAATGGTGAAATGAGGAAATTGCTCAAAGAAATATTCGCTTGACCAAGGCATTAATGTGCTTTAATCAATTAATGACATCAAAATGTATGCCCGGTGTAACATAATCTTAATAAATTGCATGCTGCAAAACTATGCCTGCATTAGTTAGTTCTTCAAATGTACACCATAAGTTTGCTCCAATCGCACTCATATTGCTTTTTGGTCAAAGGAAAATGTTATAACATAAACGATTTTCTTAATATTAAGTATGAACTTACATATGAAGATTGCATTACTTCTTCCGACAGGTGCTTGACTTACTGTATGCCACTAATGCAATACAGGCAACATTCCTTTTTGGCTTCTTTGATTAAAAAAGATCATATAGTAGTCACAAGATATTTATAAGAATGAAAGACAAGATTGCTCAGCAATGATTCTTACCATTTTGGCAGAAAAAGTCTTAATAAGAGAACAACAGGTTTCCTTTATGCAGTCTTTTCCATCAGCATCTCCTATATCCTCGAAACTTCGATACTAAATGGAGATAATGTCCCTTCTCCACCATAAAACTGATTATTTCATCGGCTTTTGAAGCTTTACCAGCATTTCTTAACTTCAATACCAACGTACTATACACAGAAAAATTCGGAGTACATCCCCTACTATCCATACTTTTCAGCATAGAACAAGCCTCGTCGAATTTCCCAGAAACACAAAGCCCTTTAATCATCGAATTATACGTGAAAACATTAGGCAGAAGACCTTTTATTGTCATATCATTAAACAGTTCATAAGCCTTGTCAAATTCACCACCAGCTACATATCCTGCTATCATTACAGTATAACACACAACATCAGGCTTGCACCCTTTTTTAAGCATCATATCAAAGAAATACTTGCAAGCATCAAGATTCCCTGCACGACCGAGCCCATCAATGAGTGTAGTGAAATGGAGTACACTCGGACTACAACCGACAAGATCCATATACTCCAATAATTCAAGTGCAGCATAAGGTTTGTCGGCTTTTCCAAGCACATGAAGCAAAAGATTGAAAGTATGCAAATCAGGAGCAAACCCATTTTTACCCATTTCATCGAGTATCGTATGGAACTGATCGAGCTTGCCCAACTTGTATTTTGCTCGCATAATCACATTATAAGTCAAGATATCGGGTGAATGCCCCTCTAAAACCATCTTCTGATAAACCCATTCAATCAATCTAAATTGATTCACTGTTAATAATGAGTATAGTATCGCATTAAACGAATGCTTGAAAGGCCTATAATTAAAAGTTTTCGACTTCAAAAACCTTTCTACTAATTTTCGGGCCATACCAGCTTCACCACAAGAACAAATAAGTAAATTGAAAGTATAAGCAGTAACCGGCAAACCATTTTCGGTCATCTCATCGACCAATCTCCACATTGCCTTCAATTCTTCAGTCTCTGCAAAAATCTTTATGATTAGATTGTAGGCATTGGAAGTATGCTTATAATCCTCTTTCTGACCCGACCAAGTGAAGAATTTATAAGCGAGCTTCGCGCATCGAAGCTTATTGGCATCATTGATAGATATCAAAATTTGCAAAAGAACTTCTCTAACTAGAGCATTTGATACTTTCAGGTTGAGCTCTTCGAGGGCTGATCTCGTGTTGAACCCCGGCCCATCTTGCTGCAAAATCTCAAAGATTTTATCAGCTTCGAGCTTGATGTTTCTGAAAAATCTCCGGCGGGGGGTGAACTCCTCCTCGTGCTCTTTGAAAGGAGGGAGACTGAGGAGGGTATCGTCGTAGTTACGATCAAAATCGGATCTTTCCTTTTCTTCATCATTGGATCGATCCCCATTGCTGCAGAAATTGAAACAAGGCCGGGTTCTGAGACGTGAGAGGAGAAAGCTCTGACCGGTTCTTCGCCCAAGTTGAAGAAGCGGTCTCATTGCAGGCGAAAAGGGGCTTCATTTCCTAGTAAAAATCTAAGCAGAAAAGGAAGATTTGAGTAGGGTTTTTCGGGGAATTGAGGGATTGGGCGAGCACTAGGGCTTTGATATAGCACATGTATTGAGATTTCGAGATCCTGGCGAAGAGAAAAGGATCGCTTTCGGGGGAGAAGAGAAAAAGGAGCGACCCTTTTTTTAGGGTTTTAGGGTTTTGGGGATCTCGGGTGGGATTGAACTCTGTTGGTTCGTTGGTCTCATTAGTTTGGAAATCTAAGCTGTCTGCGGATCCGAAGAAATCGGATCCAGACAAGAGCTGCATCCTACCCGGACGAGAATTTCTGGTGGTCCTAGATTTTTGGGTAAGGTTTGCTCTGAACTGAAGTTATGGATGCAAAAAGAGCTAAATAGCATGTAAGTAGCTTTAGGTCATGTTTGAATTAGAGACTTGTTTCATCTCAGGACTAACTTAACTCATTATAGTATAGGAATACAATAATTTAACGGACTATAGTGAGTTCAATTTTTTTATATAATCTGTTTGGTTCATCTTGTTGTTAGCACTTTGAATATCTATGTCATGTTCCGAAGCTTGTCATTATAAGGTAGGCCTGTCCATTCGGACCGGACCGGCAAAATCGGAGCCCGGACCCGGACCTGGGTACCCCGGGCCGGGTCCGAGTTATTAATCACTTAAAATGATATAAATTACAAATAAAAAATTATAAAAATAAATTCTTTATTAATAATTAATAAATCATTTACAAATTATAAGTATAAATTTATTTTGGACTTCATCGCATCACAATAGATAAGTACATCCCAACAAGATTTTTTAAATTTCTTTTCTTTTCTTTTTTTGATAAAAAAATATTAAATTTTAGTTTAATATTATTATATTTTATATAATTATGTATTAGTATATACTGACAAATTATTATGTAACTATATATTATATTTACATATATTATATGTAAATATATTGTATATATTTATAAGTTATAACTTGAGAGAGAGAGAATCACATAAGTAGCCGTTGCCCGTTGGGCTAATGGAGAAGAAATAACCGTTGTAATATACTATACTTATATATACTTATATACTAAGAGAGAGTATATATACACACATATGACATATTATACATATATAGAAATATATTATATATACATATATTATATATATACATATATTATACATGACTTGGCCCGGGTTTTCGGGCCGAGGCCGGGTCGGGCCCGGGCCGGCGGGCTTTTTGGACACCCCTATTATAAGGGGACATTAAATGTCTACAATGCCCTTCTATATATCAGCCAAGTATTTTCAGAGGTTTGTTAATAATTTTTTCAGATTTTTAGAGAGTTGTTTACAATTCATTTTTAGGGTGCTTTTTGTAACTTTTAAATTTTTAATGTTTTGCTTTTAATTTTTGGGTTTTGTTTCAAGAGTCATTTTTTATTTTAGAATTTTAAGCTTTAGGATTTTCAGGGGGATATTTGCTAATTAAATTATAAATATACTTAACTAATACATGCTAATTAAATTATAAATATATGATATGATATGATATATAAAATATAACATATATTAATATTTTAATAACATAATTTAATAACATATATTAATAATATTATATAATAGTAATTATAGTATAACGTATTTATTATAATATTATATAATATTTTAATAACATATATTAATAATATTATGTAATATATTATTATATAATATTAATTAGTAATTATAGTATAACGTATTTATTATAATATCATATAATATTTTAATAACATATATTAAAATTTTAATAACATATATTAATAATATTATATAATAACATATATTAATATTTTAATAACATATATATAATATTTTAATAACATGTATTAATATTTTATAACATATATATAATATTTTAATAATATATATTAATAGTATTATGTAATATATTATTATATAATATTAATTAGTAATTATAGTATAACGTATTTATTATAATATTATATAATATTTTAATAACATATATTAATAAATAATATTTTATTATATAATTAATTTATAAAATAATATTATAGTTATTATATATAAGACATACTATTATAATATAATATAATAATTACTAATATTAGTAAAATATTATGATATAATATAATATAATACTAAAAAATATTACATTGAATAAAGTAAAATATTATAATATTTTATAAAGTACATTATATCCTATGATACTATATTATAATATATTAAATTAAATAATATATTATTAAAGTATTATATTATATATATTATTCATATATTATATCAATTATTATATAATGTAGCATACTAATATAATGTTAATTAGTAATTATTATATAACATATTATATTTTTGTATAAATAAAATAATGTATTATATTAAATATTATATTATTAAAATATTATATTAAATATATTGATATTATATTATATTAATTATTATATATAGTATAGCATGCTAATATAATATAATACAATACAATATAATAATTAATAATAGTAATTTGTAAGTATAGTACAATATATTATATTTTAATATAAATTAAAATAATATTTATATTATAATAAAATACTAAACCAATTGGATAAGTTAATTTAGAAGTAATTAATAGATAAATTTATATTTTAATAAGGTGCCACATCATTAATTATCCCACATGAATTGTCAAATCAAATGCTGAAATTATCACATTATCCCATTTTATCCCACTTTACCCCACTCAAAATATCTCAAAGGGATAAAATTATTCTATTGGAACACTTTTTCCCTTTGGCCCTAATTTGTCTCAACCAATAACCCCCTTAGCAGAGTAGCGGGATTGCACAGGGTTGGACTGCGTATCCACCATTGATTATACTATTGTCAAGGACTATCTCCTTACTTAAACTAACAACCACCGTACATATCTTTATTGACTTTGTGCTCAAATTCTCTTTCCATCCAAATGAAACCTTGTGTGCGCATGTACCGTTCTCCTTATTTTGTTAATTATAATAATTCTATTAATTATGACACTCACAATGGCAATAATTGAAGCATCAGATCAATCTTTGACAATTTTTCCTTTTTAAAAAAATTGTCCAAGTCATAGTGCATTGTTTTTAAAATCTATATGGTACATTCTAGCAGAGAATTTTTTGAAATATGCCACTTTTGCTAGATATTTAGTATAATAGACTTTTCTTTGGCCAGCTCATCAAAACTAGCCAAAAAGATGTCGGTTTTGTTGAAAATATGTTTCGAAAAATACGAGACTGCTAGTCCCGTGTGTTTAGTGGCCATTAATCGGCCACTAAACAAGACTCAAAAAACCAACATGACTACTAGTCCTGTGTGTTTTCTAAATAGTTTTCATATAATGCATGGATCTACTAGTTTCGTGCGTTAGACGGAGACTTTATCTCTCGCGACCAGCAAGTCAATAAGACTAGTAGTCCCGTGGATTTGTCGAGCACAATTCATCTCTCTCCCGATTTCTCTCCCTTTTTGAACCCTAATTGATAAACCCTCCCCCAATCTCTCTCTCTCTCTCTCTCTCTCTCTCTCTCTCTCTCTCTCTCCCCTAATCTCTCTCCCTCAATTTTCTCTCTCTTATTCTCTCCAAACTCATTTTATCCAAACTCAAATTGAGATCTTCCCCAAAGTTTACTCCAACATTGTTGATCTCCGACGCTAATGAATTTCAAATCTTCATCAAGGTATAATTTTCTCATTTTTTATAATTTTCTCTCTATTATTTAGTTAAAATTGTAGTTTGGAAATAACTTTATATTTAAAATAATTTATTAATTATGATAAACAATAAGATCTGGTTAAAATTTGATAGATTAAAATTGGTATAGAGGGTCTTTCAACAACAGTTTAACTAGTAGCTAGAAATAAGATATATAAAATTTAAAATTTTGAGTAATATTTTAGTTCAAATGGTGAATGGAATACCGGTTATATGCTTATTGTAGGCGTCAAAAATTACCTATAGGTCCCTACACATAGCTTGAGACGAAGAGAAGACGATGAATATTATTATCCAAGTCAAAAAGGATTATTCAATGTAGTAGAGAAGCTGACAAGCGCATGAAGCGAGTCGGCAAAGCGTACGAGTCAACGTAACACGCGAAATGGCAAAGCAACGAAGAAACAACTCAGCCAGGAGCTACGTCTTGCCCACACCATGTGTGTCTCACCCATGGAAAGTTGTATGTCTCTTCGCCATCTTTCTAATGCATCTTTAATCACTTCATTCCGAGATCGGACGAGAGAGTTAGAGTCAAAATACCCGAGACAGTCCAGACTGTTTCGCACCTGCGAGACACCAATGGTGTCTCACACATTTCGCCCATGATAAAATTCAATTCTGAAGAAGCTCGAAAAATAAAAGTTGTAGGTCTCTTTGCCAGATTTCTAACAAACCTTGAATCACCCTATTCCGAGATCGAATGAAAGAATTAGAGACAAAATACTAAAGGTAGTACAAACTTTCTCGCACATGTGCGAGACACCCCGAATTGTCTCGCACAAGACATGACTGTTTCACCATGATGCAATTTGAATCCGAAAAAACTTAAAAGAAATATATGTATTTTCGTTAGCTTTCCAACGCAACTTGAATCACCTCATTCCGTGGTCAAATGAAAGAATTAGAGCCAGCATACTGAAGGCAGTACAAATTGTCTCGCACATGTGCGAGACACCCCGAACTGTCTCGCACCCGGGACACGTTTTTGACAGTTTTCGATTGGTTTTGATGGTTCCAGATCTTCCCTAACTGCTTTGAGGCTATCTCTAAATGTGGTTAAGCGGTTATTACTTGAGGATAAGGTCAAATTATCAATTCCTATCCTAAAATGCTGCATCCGAAGCCTATAAATACAAGCCTAGGGCCCCTATACACGGGGATCTAAAATTAGAGGTGAGATGTTGTCAAATTGGAAAGTAGACCATAAATTTCAAAGGAGGACTAGCAGATCTTAGCGAACTCCAGCATAAAGAGGGAGCTAGTCGAAGGATCTGAGGCCCGTTTCATCATTCATTGAGATCAGACTTTGTTTTGATCTCGAGAAGAGTAGTAATCTTACTTTGTTAAGATTATTTACTTTTGTGATTGTTTCATTTGTTAAGAAAAAACATTGATCTTTTATTCTGATCAACCTGATCCGATCCACGGTGGTCCATGGATAAACCTCAGTACAGACAAAGATCCCACGCAAGCAGCGGGTGATAAACGTCCTTTGCGTGTGTTTGAAAAGAGTTATAATTTTTTTATTCTCATTGTGTAAGAAAGTCTTATAAAAGACTAATTTTACTTTTTCAAACTTATTGTAAATGACTAAAGTTGTAATGAGTTCCTCAATGAAGAAAAC